GCAGGAAGCTGCGTGACAGGTGAGAGACCAAGAAGGATAGGCACGCCATGCAGAGTAAAGTTGGATATTGATTTATTGGTTTATTTATTTTTTATTTTTTATTTTTTTCAATTGTCAGAGTTAATTTAATTTAATTAGCTGTGGCTTGTTTGAACGGTGTATTCTTTTGAATTCATGCCCAGGTATTTACTGCCTGCCTATACTGTTGAGTGACATTCACATTCTTCATAAGGATTAAGACTCATCAACATTTTCAAAGTTATTTTGGGTTTGCTCTGGCACCAGGAGACAGAGACAAAAATCAATATCATCTCATTACCTGATCATATTTGGCAAGAGACAGCATGATTTCGCCTTCACAGGAAGAAATGTTGCCTGTGGGTAGCAAACCAGCTCTTACCAAACTTTTTACCCTGCCAGCTCTCCTCCACTCAGTGAGTAGGAGGGAGGCTCTCATGTTAGTTCCCCTTGCTGGGTTTGACAATAGACAAACAGGTACAGAAGTGTCTGGGACCTTTGATGTGTCTGGATACAAATGACTCAGAAGTCCCCTTTCCAGCATCCTCTGGGACACACAGGAAGCATCTGTGTTGTCCCCACTGGGCAACGCTAGCATGGTCAGGCATAAATTCTCTCAGAATTCCTTCTCTCTCCTCTCCAGTCCTTTGTGCTCCATGCTGCCTTTGCCTGGAAGCTGCCTCCTGTGCACAGCGATGGTTCACTCGAGTCTGTAGGTGGATGTCATACATCAAGATAGTTGTATACTTATGTATACAACATTCTGTTTGTGTGTATGCCTGCAGGCCAGAAGAGGGCACCAGACCTCATTGCAGATGGTTGTGAGCCACCATGTGGTTGCTGGGAATTGAACTCAGGACCTTTGGAAGAGCAGGCAATGCTCTTAACCACTGAGCCGTCTCTCCAACCCCTCAAGATAGTTTTTACAGACCAGGCCATCAAGCTCCATGCCTATCTCTTCTTTGCTGAAATACCCAAGGCTCAGTGTCTCAGTCCTTGTCCTTCCTGCTTTTTTCAACACAGCATATTCATCTTGCTTCTTTCCATGTCTCCCAGTGACTCTACCCTCCTTCCTTGCAGTTGGATATTTATTTAGTGAATTATGGAAATGAAGCAGGGAGGGAATAAGGAGTTAAGGGGAAATGGGGAAGAGAGAGAGAGATAGAAAAACAGGAGGGAAGGGGAGAAGTGGGGAGAAGGGAGAGACAGAAGCTGCCTCTTTGAGAGAGAGAGAGAGAGAGAAAGAAAGAGAGAGAGAGCTGGTAGCTGAAGATCAGCTTGCCTAGGCAGGTGGGGGAGGAAGTGGGCATAGCTTGTCTCTTAAAGAGACAGGATAGACCATTACAATACCGTCTCCAGCAATTCAATACTTTCTGAATCTACCCAAACAGCACCCCCAAATGGGGTCAAGCATTCAAATATTTGAGACTGTGAGGGACTTTCTTAGCACCACTGTTATGTTTTCTATCTTTTTAAAGCGTTTGCTTTTCTGTTTACTTAATTTTGAGACAGGGTCTCTATGTAGCCCTGGTTGTCCTGAAACTCACTATGTAGACCAGGCTGGCATTGAATTCACAGATATTCTCCTGCCTAGGCCTCTACTAGGGGCTGGGCTTAAAGGCATTCATCACTTTGCCCAGTATCATCTCATTTTTTAAAAAATTATTGCTGGGCAGTGGTAGCACACACTTTTATTTTTTTTTTTAAATATTTGTTTATTATGTATACAATATTCCATCTGTGTATGCCTGCAGGCCAGAAGAGGGGCACCAGACCTCATTACAGATGGTTGTGGACCACCATGTGGTTGCTGGGAATCGAACTCAGGACCTTTGGAAGAGCAGACAGTGCTCTTAACCACTGAGCCATCTCTCCAGCCCTAGCACACACTTTTAATCCCTTGCTGGAATATGCTAAATTAGCATCTCTATAAGACTTCCTCCAAATTATTAAAAAATAAGCAGAAATAGAAATAGAAGGCAGAGGAAGGTGAAACTCTGTGAGTTCAAGGATAGCCTCATCTATAGATCAAATTCCAGAACAGTCAGGGCTACACAGAGAAACCCTGTCTTGCAAATCAAAAAACAAAAATTATTGTATTATTCTATGTGTATGGGTGTTCAGTCTGCAGGTATGTCTGCAAACCATGTGAGTCCCTGGTGCCCAGAGAGGCCAGAAAAGGGAGGCTGGATCCCTTGGAATTGAAAGACCCCAGTGCTGGGCAGTCTTTCAGGCTGAGGAGACCCTCCCAAGGAGCAGCGAGTCACTCTTCGGATGCAAATAGCAAGAGGCTTTATTAAGTACTTAAGTACACAGGTACCTGGGGCGACTTAGTCTTTCGGAAGACAAGCGCGCCTGCAGACTGGGGGAAGGTCTTTTTATAGGAAAGAGGGCAGCAGAAGCAGATTACAGAAGCAAATGCATCATTAGTGGTCAGTTGGAATGGGGCAAGGGGCACAGGTGGTTTTTCCTCTCCCAGCACAGATGTATGGGAACAGATATCCTGTTAATTGATGTCCTGTCCTAATCTATGGATATAAAGATCCTGTTTTGCAGCCAGGGACCCTGACCTTACTCTGCACTTACAGTCGTTCGTCAAAAGCTTTGTGAAATGACGTTACAGCAGATAAGCTGGGATCTTTCATAGGGGGAGTTGTCTTCTTCTGTGAATTACTGACATTCTAAGTTGGGCACATGTGCTGACTATGCAAACGGGAGGTTCTCATTAGAGCAGGCCAGCTGCGGGTTCCTTATCGCTTGGGGCCAGGTGGCTGACCGGCTGACCGCAGATATCTCGCCTGGCTTCTCCGCCCTTGTTTTTAAGTCGAACTTCCCTGCTCTAATTACTTGCGTTGCTCCAAAGTTTAAGCCTTGCAAAATGGCATTACTGCTGCTTAGTGAGTGGGGGTCTTTCAGAATGGGAGTTACAGGGCCATTGGGAGCTACCATGTGGGTTCCGGGAATCAAACAGTGTTCTTTTTTTTCCTTTTTTTAAATTGATATTTATTGAGCTCTACATTTTTCTCTGCTCTCCTCCCTGCCTCTCCCCTCCCCCAAGGCCCCCATGCTCCCAATTTACTGAGGAGATTTTGTCTTTTTCAACTTTCTACTTCCCATGTAGATTAGATCTATGTTAAGTCTCTCTTAGTGTCCTCATTGTTGTCTAAGTTCTCTGGGATTGTGATTTGTAGGCTGGTTTTCTTTATTTTATGTTTAAAAACCACCTATGAGTGAGTACATGTGATAATTGTCTTTCTGTGTCTGGGTTACCTCACTCAAAATAATGTTTTCTAGTTCTATCCATTTTTCTGCAAAATTCAAGCTGTCATTATTTTTTTCTGCTGTGTAGTACTCCATTGTGTAAATGTGCCACATTTTTCTTATTTATTTTTCGATTTAGCGGCATTTAGGTTGTTTCTAGGTTGTGGCTATGACAAACAAAGCTGCTGTGAACATAGTTGAGCACATGTCCTTGTGGCATGATTGAGCATCCTTTGAATGTATACCCTAAAGTGGTATCACTGGGTTTTGAGGAAGGTTGTTTCCTAATTTTCTGAGAAATCGCCATATTGACATCCAAAGCAGCTGTACCAGCTTGCATTCCCACCAGCAATGCAGAAGTGTTCCCTTTTCCCCACAACCTTTCCAGCATAAGTTGTCATCAGGTTTTTGATCTTGGCCATTCTTTCAGGTGTAAGATGGAATCTCAGAGTTGTTTTGATTTGATATGCACCACCACTGAGCAGCCTGTTATATTTCTTAAACACTCAAAGAAAAGAATCAGGATTGGAATGAAGCAATATTAGCCTTGGCTGTCCAGGAACTAGCTCTGTAGTCCAGGTTGGCCTCAAACTCACACGAGATTTGTCTGCCTCTGCCTCCCGAGTGCTGGGATTAAATGTGCCAGCACAGCCAGACATTTCTGTGCTGTTATTACAGGGACTGCCTTTCAGAACCACCAGGGGAAGGGTTTGTAAAATTCCTAGTATCTCAGCTCCACATCAGACCAATTAATGGAGTCTCTGAAGGTGAATTGGTAGGGCATGTGTTGCTAAGATCCCTAGGTGATGCTGAGAATGCTATTGAGAGAATTCCCACCGTAGTGAGTGGTGAGCAGGCATCTGGGCGGAGGTAATTTCTTAATCTTTAAACCCTGGGGTCTAAACTACTGAATAACTGCTCTCCCCGTCTTTAAGGTACAGAGCCTTAATTTGGCAACTTTTCCGATGAACAGTTTAAAAATAACAGCCTAAAAACTGTTGTTTAAACTGTTAAAATTAATAGTCTAAAAGCAACCTTCACCAGCACCCCCCCCACCCCCCCCACCCCCGCCCCGGGGATATATGCAAAGGAAACCAAGGCAGTATCTCAAAGACTTATTGGTACTCTCATTTCCATGGTAGCTGCTTTCCTTCTTTGCTCCTCATTGTAACAGACTACCTAGTAAACGAGCGCCACCACCAACCCCCCAGCCTTGAACTTTTGAATCCTTTCCATTCTTTTGTTCAAAAGCTGTGATCACAGGCCTGGTCGAATATGTTCAATTTGAGTACTGCATTTTATGTAAGGGTTTGAGGATCTACAGAATTCATTATCGGGAGAGGGTAGAGACTCCCTTCCATTCCCACCCACCTCCATTACCTCCAGTAGGAATATGTCTGTTTTTATTTAGTTTTTTCCGACAATAGGTGGTGAACTCTAAGAGAGCAGGCCGTTATTTTAAAATATTCACTTTATTTTTTCATACCATCGATCCTGAAATCCCCGCGAGAACTCGATAAACGCAAGAACAGCTTCATAAATGACCACGTGGACATGCCCACGGAGCCAAAATGCCCGCCACTTTTTTCTTTTCTTTTTTCCTCTCCGGGATTGAGCGGCGTCTCGCCCACGTGACCCGCGGCAGCTAGCGGGCCTTGGCGTCTCGGGAACCCACGTGGTCCCTCGGAACGCACGAAGGCGGCCACTGCGCAGGCGCGGCTTTCTGCGCGGGCTCAGACGCTGCTCCGGCGCACGGCTCCGCTGGCGGTTGGCAAGAGTGGGAGCGGGTGAGGTAAAAACCGGCGCCATGGTGGAGAAGGAAGAGGCCAGCGGCGGCGGCATCAGCGAGGAGGAGGCGGCGCAGTATGACCGACAGATCCGCCTGTGGGGGCTGGAGGCCCAGAAGCGGTGAGGGGCGCGGCGGGCCCGGGCCGGCGTGTGGGCCCTGAGGGAGCGGGTGGGGCTTGTTTGTAGAGCCGCGGCGGGCTTGACGCACCTGGGTTCCCTAGTGACTTGGAAAGGACGAATGGAGGATGTTTCTGGAAAGTGTGGGAGGTGGAGACGTTCCCCGGGTGGTAGTGCGAGTGACCTCGGAGGAGGTGGAGAAGAGGGAGGATTCGAACTCCAGGCTCCTCCGGTGTGATGGGGGTGATGGTTGTGTCTCGGGAGGCTTTTTAGATCGTAAGGGGGCGGGGTGAGCTTATCAACTTCATTTGGTGGGAACCTGTGTTGGAAGCCTTAGGTACCTGGCAAACCCCACAGGCTCTTCTGGAGAGGGTTTGGGTGCAAGTCCTGAAAAAGGGACATCTGCAGAGGCTCAGAGTGGACGGATTTATTGAGCACATTGCCAAGGGTTCTGTTCTCTGCCCCTCCCTCCTCCGCCCCAAAGACAGAGTTTCTCGGTGTAGCTCTGGCTGTCTGTCCTAGAACTCGAGATCTGGCTGCCTCTGCCTCCCGAGTGAGCTGGGATTAGTGTGCCACCACAGACGACTTTCTCTTTTTCAGGTTGTTGTTATTATTATTGCTGAGCATGGTTTTGCATATCGTTAATTCTGGCCCTTTTGAGACTGAGGCTGACGGTTCTCTGTGAGTTCAAGGAAAGCCTGGTCTATATAGCTTCAGGACAGCCAGGGCTACACAGTGAGATTATGTCTCAAAAGCAGTTATTGTTTTTATAGCCCAGACTGACTTTAACTTGCAGAGAGCTCCTGCATGCACCACCACACTTTGGTTTTCTAAGCATTTTGGGGGGAGAAGTTTTAAATTTTCTGTATTTATGTGTATGTGTTTTGTGGTGTGGCTGTCAGTGCCAAAGGACAACTTTGTGCAGTCAGTTCTATTTCACCTTTATGTGGATTCTGTGTGAGGCTGAAGAGGTATATCATCTATCTGTTAAGAGAGCTGGCTATTCTTGCAGTAGACCAGATTTGGTTTCTCACGACCACGTGTAATTCAATTTCAGTTTCAGGGAATCTGACATTCTCTTCTGGTCTCTGTGGGTACTGCACACATGTATTGCACATACATAATTCAGATGTTTGCACACATACACATAACATCTCTGAAAAAAGAGGAATAAATCTCTGAGATTGAAGTAAATGAGATAGCATATGAGCAGCTCCTACACTCAGAAGACATCAGTGAGTTTTATACATTATTAGACAACTCTAGATAACCAGCAACAAAAGAGGGGAAAGTATTAAGAGTTTTGAACCAAGCTGGACGGTGGGGGCACGTGCCTTTAATTCCAGCACTTGGGAGGCAGAGACAGGAGGATCACTGTCAGTTCGAGGCCTGCCTGGTCTACAAAGTGAGTTCTAGGACAGGCTCCAACGCTACAGGGAAACCTTGTCTTGCAAAACAAAAACAAAAAAAAGAGTATTGAAGCTTGGCGGTGGTGGCACTGGCCTTTAATCCCAGCACTTGGGAGGCAGAGGCAGGCCAGCCTGGTCTACAAAGCCACAGAGAAACCTTGTCTTGAGGGGTAGGAAGAATATTGAACCAATGATATCCCCAAGAGTTAAGAACAGTTACAGAGAGTTTTAGTGTTAGGGATAGAATCATATTCTAGGCTTGTATGTTTCACCTGGGATACCAACACTTTAGCCTCCCAGTGTAACCAGCAAATTGTTAATTTTTCCTTTTGAGATAGGGTTTCGTTCTAGACTAGGCTGCTATCAAACTTGGAACAGTCCTCCTGCCCATTGCTAGGAGTGCTGGTTCATCAGTGTATCGAACATTCTTATAAACCCTGCGTCTCTGAGGTGGCTGTTGGAGGACCAGGAGTTCAAGGTCAGCCTGGGCTATACGAGACTTTCTCAAAAACAAAACAAGTAATTTCTGTTTTGCTAAGCATTTTCCTTCTGAGGATTTTATTATGAAACAGAACTTTATGTTCTTTTGCTGAAATTCGATGTGTCTTGTATTTGGGCAAGTCACTTAGCTTGGTGTTTCAGACTTCCTCATGGGTTGACCTACATGACAACCCACTCATTAGCTGGTAGAGTGCTTGCTTACTGTGTACAAAGCCCAGGCTCCTTGCATAAAAAAGCACTGCATAAAAAAGGACTCAGTAGCTTATCTCCATAATCTCAACCCCATTTCTCCTTCCTTTAAAAAAAAAAAAGGAAAAGAAAAGAAAAACACCCCACAAAGATTAGAAGGTCATTTTGGGCTTCTGGGAAAGAAGCATTTTGTCTGATACCTAATGAATGGGTCATTTGTTTAAACTTGGAGGGGGGTAAATGGGATCCTTTAATGCCAGGGTCCTTTGTTGGAAGCATCTTTAGTTCCTGAGAAGGGAACCTGGATTTAGTCTTAGCAGGTTAGCAGGGGAAGGAATGTAGAATGAGAGGATCCACAGTACAGGGTCCAGTAAGGAGCTTGCAGAGAGATCATTTAAAGCTTTGAACAGTATAAGATGTAGTAGTTCACATTGTAAGATTTGTCTGGACTGATCAATGGTAGAGAAGCGGCCTAGTATATGAATCCTTGAGTTATACTCCCATGTAGGGCAGATAAAATATGTCTTTGAAATGGGGACAGGAAGTTGTAAGGGACAAATGGAGGCAGAGAGGCCAAATGTATTTCAACAGGATCTCCTGCAACCCATCTTGGCCTTATACTCTGTCTGATCACCTTAAACTTTTGACCCTCTTTGCCTCTACTGCTTTTGTCTCTGAAGTACTTGAATTCCAGTGTGTGCCACACCCTAATTATGCTGTCCTAGGGATGGAGTCCAGTGTTTGTGCATGCTAGGCAAGTATTCTGCCAACTGAACTTTAGCCACAGCTCCTTTGTTTTTGTGCTTTTAAGAAACAGGGCCGTGTCATGGCGCATGCCTTTAATCCCAGCACTCTGGAGGCAGAGGCAGATGTAGCTCCCTGAGTTCAAGGACAGCTTCATTTACAGAGTGAGTTCCAGGATAGACAGGGCTACATAGAAAAACTGTCTCGAAAAACCAAAAAAGAAAAAGAAAGAGGATTTTGGGCTGTTGAGATGACTCAGTTAAGAACACTTAACTACTCTCTCAGGAGTCTGGAATTTGGTTCCTGGTACCCATATGGCAGCCTCCAACTTCGTACAGCTCTGCTTTCAGGGAATCTAGCCTTTGTGGTTCCTGTACACATGTGGCACATAAAAAATGCTCGCAATGCAAACAAATACAACAAAATTATTGTTCTTGCTGGGTTAGAGTAATTACCTTTCTGCCTCAGCTTCCTACTTAACTGGAGCTACGTGTGCTTTCTTACTCCTGGGTCCAGTTGAAATTTTTTAAATATTTATTTATTTAGTATACAATATTCTGTCTGTGTGTATACCTGCAGGCCAGAAGAGGGCACCAGACCCCATTACAGATGGTTGTGAGCCACCATGTGGTTGCTGGGAATTGAACTCAGGACCTTTGGAAGAGCAGGCAATGCTCTTAACCTCTGAGCCATCTCTCCAGCCCCGGTCCAGTTGAATTTTGTGGGTGAGAACTGATGATTGCATAGATTAGGGTCTAGTTTGTGCACATGGAAGAAGGTGGATAAACCACATTGTTTTGTATGTTGTGCATATTTTTTTCAACTCAAAATAATTGTGCCTCAAACCAAACTTCATTGACTACAGCATTTCTTTTGTGAAAGGGAATTGCTACTTCAGAGAACATGAATAATAGCTACTTCATTAAGTGCCAGATAGTGTTTCAGCCCTTTTCATATGATCGAGCCATAAGTAAGTTTTAGTCTCTGGGGCTCTGTCATGTGTGGTTAAGATTAAAAATATGGCCGGGCGGTAGTGGTGCACACCTTTAATCCCAGCACTTGGGAGACAGAAGCAGGCGGATCTCTGTGAGTTCAAGGCCAGCCTGGTCTACAAGAGCTAGTTCTAGGACAGGCTCCAAAAGCTGCAGAGAAACCCTGTCTCAGAAAAACAAAACAAAAAGATTAAAAATATGATACTCATTTTTGGTTGTTGCTGTGAGCAATTCCAGACCACTCATTGTAAAGAACTATGTTGTAATGGTTGTGGGGTGGGGAACAGGAGAGGCCCTATAGTTACCTGAGACTGGGCAGAACCCTTTTCTTTTTGTAAATTTGTACACACAGCAGCCCTCTTTTCAGTTCTCTGTGTGTGTTTTGAGGCAGGGTCTCAACTGCAACCCAAACTGGTCTGGAACTTCCTTTGGTGTGCTGGGATTACATGTGTGAGCCACCTCTCCCAGCTAGCTTCATTCTGTACTTTTGATCCTCCTGCCTCATCCCCCTGAGCAGCTGGGATGACAAACCTGCTCCATAAGGCCTCTTAGAAACCTTAATATTGCTGTTTTGCAAGGAAAGTTCTGGAAAGGTCATTCTTCCTTGAGTGTGCTATGGTAGGAAAGACCCCTGGAACTGGCAGGATGGTTTGGCAGGTAAAGGCATTTGCTGCAAAGCCTGACATCATGGCTTCAGTCTCAGGGACCCACTTAGTAGAAGAACAGAATGGACTCTTGAGTTTCCTCTGACCTCCCCATATGGCCATGGCATGCATTCACACAAAATAATTTAATAAAAATTTGAAAAGAAAGGCCTGTATGTTAATACTTTTCACATTGCTGTGATTTACTTTTGAGAGTACAGTCCATTGTGGCAAGAAAGCCAGGCCACAGTGTTGTGTGTCAGACAGCTGGTCATATTGCAGTTGGTCAGGAAAGAGAGATGAACAACCCATGCTCTGCTCCCTGCCCCCTTTTTAAACTTTATTATTTTGTTTGCTCGTTTAGGAAGTAGCTCTGTAGACCAGGCTGGTCTTGAACTCGTAGAGGTATACCTGCTGCTGCCTCCTGAGTGCTGGGAGTTTTACTTATTGAATGTTTGTGGGGGTTACCTATCTTGGCATGTGTGTCAGAAGACAGCTTTGTGAACTTGGTTCTCTACTAACTTCTGATAATGGCTTCTGATAATGGAATGCATGTCCTCAGGCTTCCATCCTCAGGCAGCAAGCACTTTTTCTTGTGGACTCTCTCTTTTTTCCTGAATGTGGATCCACTCCATTGATGGTGTCACAGTCAGGGTAGGTCTGCCCTCTTCTATTGAACCTTTTTGTTTTTGTTTTTTTGAGACACGGTTTCTTTGTGTAGCTTTCGCTGTCCTGGAACTAACTATGTAGACCAGGCTAGCCTCAACTCACAGAGATCTACCTGCCTCTGCCTCCTGAGTGCTTGGATTAAAGGTGTGTGACACCATTTTTGTCCAGACCATTGAACCTTTGTATAAATACTGTCATAGAACATACCCAGACCTGTGTGTACATGGTGACATGGTGATTCTAAGTCTAACAAGTTGACAGTGAATATTCATCAGCATGGGCCCTGGGGAAATGGCCTTAGGGTGAGAGCTTGAGTGGGCCAGGGAGGAAGAGGTGGTGTGGAGATGGAAAGCTGAGGGCATGCTTAGTGGTAAGTAGTCTGATACTAATAGGAGATAAAGCTAGTAAAGTAGTGTAGATAAGTTCGGAACTATGTGTGAGCTGTAGATTTTATCAAATGGGAATGGAACTCAGTTTGCCTTCCTCATACGCATGAAGCCCTGCGCATGAAGCCCTCCGTTTGATCCACACATACTGGGCAAGAAGGTGCACATCTATCAGTACACTGGAGATAGAGGCAGGAGGCTCAAAATTCAAGGCTATACTCTGCTACAGAGTTTTAGAGCAACCTGGGATGTATGAGACCAAGCTTTATAATTTTATAGTGCTATAACCTAGGCTGGCTTCAAACTCCCAATCCTTCTGCTTTAGGCTTTTTTTTTTTTTTTTTTTTTTTTTTTTTTTTGCTTTTTCGAGACAGGGTTTCTGCTTTAGGCTCTTGAGTGCTGGGATTAGGGACGCACTCCAGCACCCTAATGGCCCCCTGTGCTTATTAAAGGCTCCTAAATGTAATTCTGTGTAAGCACTCATGATCATTGGAGTAATTTTGAAGACCCCTTGGTGTTCTCCAGGTGCTGGTACTTGGATAGAGCTGGCCTACTGTTTGGCAGACCCAGGATAACAGCAGCACTAGGATTGCTAGAAGCTTTTGAGTTACCAGCCCCCAGTGTGGCTGTGATGGACTGCACTGCCTGGCTCTTAGGGCTTCAGAAGCAAGGTCTGAATTGCTTCTCAGGCTTTATAAATTCTGACTTTAGATGTGGATCAAGACTTTCAGGATGCTGTGAAACAATCCTGCCTCTCACAACTGGGTTACTTTTTTGTCTTACTTTTGTTTTTTTGTCTCATTTCTTTCTCTTGACAGAGATCAAAGCAATTCCCCTACCCATTGTTTTTGTTGTGCTCAAGCTGGCCTGAAACTATGGATCCATGCATGACTCAGAACTCACCTCCTTATCCACCTCCCCAGTGCTGGGATTAGAAGTGTGTGCCTGTAATCTCATTCTTAAACACACTTTAATGCTACCACCTGTTTTGCATGTGTACTCCAGATTAAATAATGTTCTCTTGCTGAGTTGGAGTCATACCTCATTGATAAAGCACTTGCAAGAGCCCCTGAGTTCAGTCCCTAGTTCCACAGTACATATACTTGCCCTTTTTTGGTTATCATACTATCTGAGTAGATATGCACACATAACCACCCTGTCTTCTGTTAACTGTGACATCATCTCACCATTTGGCTTAGACTTGAGTCCAGAATTCTTTTTTTTTTTTTTTTTTTTTTAATATTTATTTATTTATTATGTATACAATATTCTGTCTGTATGCCTGAAGGCCAGAAGAGGGCGCCAGACCTCTTTACAGATGGTTGTGAGCCACCATGTGGTTGCTGGGAATTGAACTCAGGACCTTTGGAAGAGCAGGCAATGCTCTTAACCACTGAGCCATCTCTCCAGCCCCAGAATTCTTTTAATGCCTACAAGCCCTCATGCCTTGCCCCTCATTCTCTTACCAGGCATATGTCCCGTCCCTTGTGTGCTGCTTTGCAGCCTCTGTGTTCTTGCTGTAACTGAGAAATGATAAACCAGGCGTCTGTTTCCTGAGCTTGTGTGTTTACAGGTTTAGTTTTCTATTGTTGGAATGCTTTCTTTTCAACTGTCTCTATGTTGATTGGTTGTTTATTTCCTTTTGATTAAAAAACATCAAGGGGGCTGGAGAGATGGCTCAGCAGTTAAGAGCATTGCCTGCTCTTCCAGAGGTCCTGAGTTCAATTCCCAGCAACCACATGGTGGCTCACAACCATCTGTAATGAGGTTTGGTGCCCTCTTCTGGCCTGCCGACATATACACAGACAGAATATTGTATACATAATAAATAAATAAATATTTTTAAAAATCAGGGTTTTTTTTTTGTTTTTTGTCGTCGTTGAGACAAAGTCTCTGTAATCAAGTCTTAGACTTGAACTTTTGGAGATCCCTCCTTTCTCAGCTGGAGGTTTTCATCATTATCACTGTACTGTTTAAATTTTTCTTTCGTTGCTGTTGATTTGTTTTTCAGAACAGGATTTCTCTGTGTAGCCTTGGCTGTCCTGGAACTCTGTAGACTAGGCTGGCCTTGAACTCACAGAGAACCGCCTACCCTTACGCCTTGAGTGCTGAGATTAAAGGTTAATGCCTTTGATGTCTTTTTATTTTATTTTATTTTTTTTTGTGGTTCTGGCGAATTCATGCAGGACCTTATATGTGGAAGGCAAAATTCTACCACCTGAGCTATATCTCCAACCCCATAAGACTCTTCAGGTCTTTTGCTTGAAGAGCTACATTGTTGAGAGGGTACATGCCATGGTAGGTGTTCTGTACAGGATAGTTTGGGAGCTATTTTCTAGATCTGAAGGTTCAGTGGTGCTTCAGTGAATATAGTGAAATATATATATATATTTATTAAATATATATATTTAATTTTTTTAGTCATCCTGTAATTGAACAAGTCCCACTAGTTGGGGTCATCAAGTTAACATAGCAGGTGTCTTACAGGCTTCGAGCTTCCCGGGTGTTGATTGTCGGCATGAAAGGACTTGGGGCTGAAATTGCCAAGAATCTTATCCTGGCGGGAGTGAAAGGACTGACCATGCTGGATCACGAACAGGTATGTATCCCTCTGCTCGCCCTGTCTTCCCCTCAAGATACAGTGCTGTGAGTTTGGCAGTACAAACCCAGGTTCAGTGATACGGTAGTTGGGAGACTGAGGCCTTGAGGCTTATTTATCCCTTCATTCCTAAGCTACCGATTCACAAGTTCTGGGGTGGTACAGGAATGGGTACATTTAAAAGATGTCTCAGTTCGGTGTGATGTCATATGCCTATAATCCCAACACTCAGGAGATTGAGTCAGGGTTGCAAGTTCAAGCCTAGATTTTGCTACATAAGTGAGACTCTTAAAAAGTCAAAATAATCTTGATGTAGATGGTTCACTGAAATTACTTTGAAAAATACTGAATCAGAGAGAGGGTCTGTCTATCTATCTATCTATCTATCTATCTATCTATCTATCTATCTATGTAGACTGCTTACACAGAGGAGAACGTGAGCATCCAATATCTCAGAGGAGAACTGAGAAGCATATGGAGGTACTCCAGCAGCGCCTGGTTCCAGTGTAGCTTTCTCCAGACTGTCTTTCGTTCAGGGTGAACGTGTTTTTGTACACATCTCCAAGCTTCAGTGGCATGTGTGTTCTTTAACAATTTTTTGTTTATTTGCTTGCTTCTCTGTGTTTTGAGGCAGGAACTCACTAGTTTAGGCTGTCTTGGAACTGCAGCGTAGCCTGAAAGCTACATGAGACCTAGTCTCAAAGATCTAGAACTTTCTACTGCAATATGAAGAGGAACTTGGGCTTCACTTACTTATTGTCACAGTCACAAGATTTGTTTGTTTGTTTTAAGACAGGTTCTCTCTGTAGACCAACCTCCCTCTGCCTCCTCAGTGGGGGGACTAAAGGCATGCTTCACTATATATAGCTGGCAACTGTAACTCCTTTTAAGACTAGCTCTCTACTCTGTAGGTACTGGCTTGGAACTTTCTATTAGACCAAGTTGACCTCAAACTCACAGTGATCAATCAGCCAGTCTGCCTCCATAGTGCCGAGATTAAAGGAATGCACCATTGCTCCTGGCATTTTTATTGTTACTGTGATAGAATTTCAGTTACCTAAAACTGTCTTCAAACCTCAGCTGAAGGTCACCTTGAACTTCTGATCTTGCCTCCACTTTTCCAGTGCTATCATTACAGACATGAGCCACTGTACTCTATTTATGAAACACTTGAGGTCAAATGCAAATACAATGTCATCTAGGCTATTATCCCTACCTAAAAATTGGTTTTTAAGTTAAACCTAAGGGTAGCATTGCAGTACATGCCTGTAAATCCCAGCATTGAAGAAGCAGAGGCAGGAGGATTGCTGCAGATTTGAGGTCATCTTGGGCTACATATCAAAACTCTCAGACAACAAACATTTAAAAATGAAAGAAAACCTAAGGAAATTTTTTGAGCAAGCTGTCAGGACAGAGGACTTGTCTACAAGGACTTGTCTACAGAGGACTACAGTGCCCTCTAGAGGCCAGGAGCACACAGAGGAGAATTAGTACACCTGCCACCAAGACACTTTGTAATTGGTAGCTCTTGGTATCAAGAATGCAAATGGGATTTCACAAGCCATCTTCTGGCTGTGAGACTCCAGTGTGTCCATCCTATACCAGCATGTGTGTGGTGTGGTTCTGATGTTATGTCAGAAGAGTGCTAAGGCATAGGCTGATTTTCTTCCCTTACTCACTTGGAGGGCCTCAGTGCCTTCTCCTTTCTTGAAGTAGTGGTCCTCAACCCCAGCTACACTGGAGAGAACCTGGGCAGTGGTAATATAAAAGCTTCTCAGGGTTAAGTTAGGTATGGTGGTTTCTAATGGACTTTCTGTAGTCTAGTGCTGGTCAGCTTAACTAGCTCAACCCCCAACAAATAAATTTAACAGTCCATAAATATACCAAGCTTTTCCTCCTGCAATTTCCCTAAGAACACTACTGATAGGCAGTGATGCAAAATAGTTCAGAAGACTGTGGAGCCTTGTAGACTTGACTATAGGGTCAATGAGTTGTTTTATGGAATTTTGCATTGTGAAGTGAATGGCCCTGAGCTAGACTTTAATACACAGCTCTGTATTTCAGAGAACCTTGTTGAGAGAATGTCTCTTCAAGGGAAGAGAGGAGCCGGGACCCGAGAGCTGAGGGAAGTAGAACATTGTATGATAGGTGTTATCTGTGGATTGATAAGCATCTATATCACAGGTTTCTGTACACGTAGGTAACAACAATCAGTGGTTGAACCAAGATTTGATTTGGGGATTTGGATCTAACCTGAATTGCCCTTAATCACAGATTCCAGCCTTGCAGTAGGGAATGATCCCTGAAGAACAGGATGTGGTAACTTAAAAAACATGCCCCTGTAGAGGGTTGGTTTGAAAAGTTCATTCATTTTCTTGATACTATGGAAGAATTTGGTCTTAAGATAGTTGGTAGGTAATTGGGGTGGTGGTAATAGGGGGAGATAACTTACTAGCTCTAGTGAGGTGGTAAATTGATTTGCTAAATTAGGTAGTTTGTGTGTGAAATACTTTGAGAGATATTGGGGTCTGATGCTAACCCGGACCATAAATTATTTCTCTCGACCAGACCCAAACATAACTGTTTCTCTCTGGACCAGCGTGGAGATGTGGAAATAAAGACACAACTCACATGGCTTTATCGGGAGGGAGATTCTCAGTGATCCCTCATGAAGTCCTGAGTTCACATCCTGAAGAATTCCTTTCGTTTATTCTCCAAACAGCCTTATATACCAAAACTTTACCAAGAGGAAAATACACTAACATTCTGTTTGCTAGGTAACCAGGTGAATGGCTTTCAGTCCATGTCCACAACTACCTGTCTGTTGTGTATGCTAACTGTCACTTAGGTTTGAATTAGCGTCTCTATCAGGCCTCCTCCAAATTACAAAGAAGGAGCAAAACCACATCCTGACCTTTTGTTAGGTTAGTGACAGCCTGTCTGGAACCCTTCTCAGGTGTGGCCTATGGCTTGATAGCTTGGCTGCCATACCATATAGAAATATGGGCCTACAGAGAGATATGGAATCTGTTTACTAATAGTCCTGGCCTTTGAGGTGCTTGTTTCCATTCCAGCACCCGACAGGGAGGTCAGACTAAGGGGTCCTGTGTGTGCTAGGGAAGAAGCATTTTTTGTTTTGTTTTGTTTTTCCAGACAGTTCTGTGTAGCTTTGGAGCCTGTCCTGGAACTCACTTTGTAGACCAGGCTAGCCTCAAACTCAAAAGATCCACCTGCCCCTGCCTCCCAAGTGCTGGGATTATAGGTGTTCGTCTGGCTGGGAACAATTTGCTATTGAGCACCTAGTAACCAGTCGTTTTGTTAGCAATTTAAAAAATCTGAACAAATTTAAGGAAGGCAGAGGCAGGCGAGTTCAAGACCATCCTGGTCTACAGAGTGAGTTTCAGGACAGCTAGGACTGTTATACAGGGAAACCCTGCCTCAAAAAACAAACAAATGGAAAAAATCAGAACAAATTTAAATAGAGGAGACATTAGACTTTGGAGAGAGTTTCTCTTCTAAGCACAAGGGGGTGCTGTTTAATCATCAATGGCCAGTTTTAAACCTGTTAACGGTTTTTTAAACCGATAACAGGTTTAAAACTCAGAAGGAAGAACTGGAGTTGGTGTTAGAGTTTCTGTCACTGTGATAAACACTTGACCAAGAGCAGCTTGGGAAGAAAACATTTTATTTCAGCTCGCAACTCTGAGGTCACTTTCACATTCAGTGACCGAGGGAAGTCATGTCAGAAGCTTGATGCGGGAACTGAGACAGGCCTTAGGGAGCACTGCCTGCTGGCTTACTCAGCTTGCTTGTTTTAGAGCGTCTAGGACCACCTACCCAGGGGCCACCACTCACAGTGAGCTGCGATGAGGGCCTTTTCTTACTTTAAATTTCCTCTTCCCTAATAATTCTAGCTTGTGTCATGTTGACCAAAAAATAAACAGAAACCTCAAAATCTAATACCACTATTTAACTATAACTTTTCTAGCCTAATTTGACCCCATCCCAACTTTGTTTTTTTGATTTTTTTTTTTTTTTTCAAGACAGGGTTTCTCTGTAATAGTCAACCATTCCTGTCCTGGAACTTGCTTTGTACACCAGGCTGTCCTCAAACTCAGAGGTCTGCCTGCCTCTGCCTCCCAAGTGCTGGGATTAAAGGCATATGCTTGGTTTAACATTCCAACTTTTTAATAAAAGTCCTACAGTACTTAAAATTTCAAACATTTTAAAAGTTCAGATTCTTGGGCTGAAGAGATGGCTCAGAGGTTAAGAGCATTGGCTGATTTTCCAGAGGTCCTGAGTTCAATTCCCAACAACCATATGGTGGCTCACAACCATCTGTAATTTGATCTGGTTCCCTCTTCTGGCATGCAGACAGAACACTGTATAAATAATAAATAAATAAATTAAAAAAAACGAAAGCAAACAAAAAAGTTCAGATTCTTTACACTTCCAAAATACCTTTCAAGGTTTCTCTAAAATACCTAAAGTTGGTCAACTGTGTGCTCGGACGAAAAAAGAAAGAAAGAGACTAAAAGCTTCCTACTGTAGTATAGTCACAACAAAACCAAAATCCAACAGTGTAAAACTTTGCTTCTTTGACTCAGGCTCTTGTGGGCTTCAAAGATCTTGAGGCGCTCCATGCCACAGCTGCTGCTGTCCTTGGTCCTGGCATCTCTGTGGCAGCAGGACTGCACATTCACCACAAGACCCCTCTTGGGCTTTCCAACACAGCCCCCCCCCCCCCCCCGACTTCCCTCAGGTACTCTGACCCTGCTGTACCTCAGTTGCTCTCCACAACTCCTTCATGTCTTCAAAAGCAGTATCTCTGGAGGACTCTTATACATTGTTGAGTTTGGCTGCCAGCACAGTGTTTCGTTTTGGTCGCCTCCAGACTACAGCTACTGTGTGCTGATCCTGAACAAACATTTCCTAGAAGTTTTTGCCTCAGTGATATTGGCTGATCTCTGTTTCTGTTTTTTTGTTTGTTTTGTCCTTTTTATGTGTGTGTGTGTTTTCGAGATAGGGCTTCGCTGTAGTTTTTTTTTTAATTCTTTTATTTTATGATTTATTTATTTACTTTTATGGTTTTTTGAGACAGGGCTTCTCTGTAGCTTTTAGAGCCTGTCCTGGAACTAGCTCTTGTAGACCAGACCACGCTGGCCTCGAACTCATAGAGGTCCACCTGTCTCTGCCTCCCGAGTGCTGAGATTAAAGGTATGTGCGCCCCCCCCCCCCCCCCCCGTTGTTTTGTTTTGTTTTTCTTCCTGAGACAGGGTTTCTCTGTATAGCCCTGGCGTGTGCTGGTGTTGAACTCAGAGATTTGTCTGATTCTGCTTCTCTAGCGCCAGCACTAAAGGCATGCATCACCATGACCTGCTTTTCTCTCTCTCTGTCTCTCTTTCTTTCCTGAGACAGGGTTTCTCTGTGTAACAGCCCAGACTGTCCTGGACTTTAGTAGATCAGACTGGCCTTGAACTCCCAGAGATCTGTGTGTGTTGCCACGCCCAGCTTAGATAAATACATTTCTGTAGGAACAATAATAGCAGTTGGTTGTGGGCATTTTAATGTGCTTATAGGCTCAATGTCTTTGAGATTTTCATTCCAAAAAGATTAAAAAATTAAGGAGAATTTTTTTTTCCTTTTTAGGTATCTCCAGAAGATCATGGAGCTCAGTTCTTGATTCGAACTGGGTCTGTGGGCCAGAATAGGGCTGAGGCATCTTTGGAACGAGCCCAGAATCTCAACCCCATGGTGGATGTAAAGGTGGATACTGAGGATATAGAGAAGAAGCCAGAGGCATTCTTCACTCAGTTTGATGCGGTGAGTCTCTTAGTATTAAGCCTGCTGTGAGAGTCAGCAAGTTCAAGTAGTAGTGGAAGCCCAGTGTGGGTTCACTCCTATAACCCCAATGCTTAGGAACAGAGGCAGGAAGGAGGACTGTTCACTGCTTCAGGCTTAAGGCCAGCCTGGACAACATAGTAAGATTAACTGTAGGTTTACTAGACCTTTCAAGTAACACATTCTGAGTTTTCCTCTCACGTACATTTATAAACTTCTGATCTTTAGGTTTGACACATTCAGTATGTTTCTGTGTAGGTCCAGTCTGTTGGACCTATTGTGTTTGGTTGTGAGGTGCCTGCTGTCTACTGGTTGCTTCTTTGTCTTGGTTTATATTCCCCCAGACTAGGTTTCAGCATTAATATTTTATCTTCTTTTATAATCTTGCTCATGTTGAAATCTTAAGTTGTTGATTAATTTTGTTGCCAGCTGGACTTATATGTTAGAAATAATGGAGCTGCAACTTGTGTTTTGTGTTAAAAAGAACATACCTAGCCAAGCTTGGTGGCACATGCATAAATCCCAACATTTGGCAGATGGAGGCAGGAGGAATAGAAAAGAAATAAAGACTGAGTTTGAGGCCAACCTGGGCTACATAAGACTATCTTTTGGTGTGTGTGGTGGTGTTTTGAGCAGGGTTTCTTGTTAAGTCTGCCTGTCCTGTGGCTTGCTCTGTAAACCAAGTGGTCTCAAACTACAAGATCTGCCTTCCTCTGCCTCCCAAGTGCTGGGATTAAAGGCGTGTGCCACCATGTCTGGTTGACTTTGTTATAACCAAAAGGCAACATCTCTGATCTTGATTTGTCTGTACCTTTTTTTACACAACTATTTTGGCCATGGACTTGACAGAATAACTACAATGATAAACCAAATGAGGCTTATTTAACCTCATCTACTCAGTGCCAAGACTGTGTAGAGGTGAAAGGAAAAGCTAAATTCTGTGTTAGGGCATATGACTTTCTCTTTTTTTGAGACAGGATCTCTAACAAAGCTGTGGATGTTCTGGAATTCACCCTGTAGACCAGGCTGACCTCAAACTCACAGAGATCTGGCTGCCTCTTGAGTGCTGGGATTATAGTTGTGCACTACTATACCTGGGCTCACTCATAATTAATTAATAAAATAGCCAGTTGTGGTGTTGTACCTTTAGTCCTAGTGCTTGGGAGGTAGAGGCAGACCTGATCTATAAGAATGAGTTCCAGGCCTCATTCTACACTGTAAGACCTGTAAGGCTACACTGAAAGAACTTTGTCTCAAAAAATAAAAGTAAATGAAATAAAATTTTTAAAAAATTTTATGTGTGTGTCAGAGAGGTTTTCCTCAAACATGACCTTTGGGTCTGTTAAAAAAAAAAAACTGGTCTTGCTTGATTTTTAACAGATTAGATAATAGTTTAGATTACTTTGACATTGCTGTCTTTTTTGATAACTATGAAGTATAGTTTATATGTTCTTGGATTAAGGGAACAAATTGTCAAGTGGTTTTTCTTTCCAGCTAGCCCTTTAGTTGTCAAAAGTGACCATCATATCATTTACATTTTCTTTTTTAAATTTTATTTTTATTTTATTTATTTATTTATTTATTTTTGGTTTTTCGAGACAGGGTTTCTCTGTGGTTTGGAGCCTGTCTTGGAACTATGTCTTGTAGACCAGGCTGGTCTCGAACTCACAGAGATCCACCTGCCTCTGCCTCCCAAGTGCTGGGATTAAAGGCGTGCACCACCACTGCCCGGCTTCATTTATATTTTCTACACCCTGAAACCTGCAACTTTTGTCTTTTAATCATAGTACCCAAAGAACCTGTTATACCTGTTGAAACTGGTCTTAACCTTGCCAGAGAGACAGTTAATTTAAGATTTATGTAGGCAGCAGGGCAGTGAGTCACAGTTTTCAGCTCTTACCAGTCAGTTCCTGTCTCTGCAGGTGTGCCTGACTTGCTGCTCCAGGGATGTCATCGTTAAAGTTGACCAGATCTGTCACAGAAACAGCGTCAAGTTCTTCACAGGAGATGTCTTTGGGTACCATGGGTACACCTTTGCAAATCTTGGAGAGCATGAGTTTGTAGAGTAAGTGCTGGGAGGAGAGGGTTGTAGGGAATGTTTCCACAGTTGGAATAGTATTTATGGCAGGAAATGAACTGCCCTTATGAAGTAGCTTACTTTGCTACAATACTTAGAACATTCTGAGGCAAGCGATTAACAGATCACTAAGTAGAGTGCTTTGTGGGGTCACATTTTTGTTGTTTTTTCAAGACAGGGTTTTTTTCTCTCTGTCTGATTATCTTGGAACTATGCTGTAAACCAGGCTGGCTTCTAACTCAGAGATCCACCTAACCCTGCCTCTTGAGTGCTAGGATCAAAGGTATGCACTTGTAGGTTCGGAATTTTAGGATATATGTGGACCCCACTGTTTAAAACTGTGATGTCATCTGAAGCCCAAGCAGGCAGAGTTGTAGATAAAGTGTGTCATATGGGTATCCCAGCCTTCTGAACTTAAGGGCTGGAACCCACATATGCTGTCCTTGGAAGGTGAGCTTGTTTCCCTAGTTTGTGCTTGCCTGTTGAGAGATGACGGAGAGAGTTAATTGGGTAGTCCTGGACACATTCAGCCTGCCTTGAAAAAGCAAGATCCAGAGCCTACGGTAGTGGAGCAGACAGACCTTATCCCCCACTTTGAACAAAAGGCTGCAGAGCTTAGTAATTCTCACATGCCAAGACCAGTAGTGTTTTTTACTTACAGCCTCAGTAAGTGAAAGATGGCAGACGATAGAGTACTATAAAACTATATATGCTGGGTATTTGGCCACCATTCATTACATTTTCATTCTCTCTCCATGCATGCACTCAGCTTCTGAAGCCTACCTTGTCAATGAGTAGTCTTACAGAGAAGCCTAGACCTGATTGGGCAGAACTTCCACTAAACAGGACTCTCATTGTTCAACCTCTCCAGCAAGTCATTGGTATTTCTCTGGCTCACAGGTTTCTTGCCTGTAAAATGAAAGTTTGAGCTGGATGGTGATGCCCTTAATCCCAGTATTTGGGAGGCAGGGTTAGGTGGATCTCTGAGTTTAAGGTCTAAAAAGTGAGTTCCAGGGCTACACAGAGAAACCCTGTCTTGGGGGGAAAAAAAGAAGAAACTTTGAAAGGGACAAACATGTTCTCACCATTTCCTCTACTAGCTATACAAACGTTTTAGAAAGACCTGGTTCTAGGAATGTTATACACTGAACGATTATAACAAAAGCAGGCTGGGCTGTTCTAGCATGAGATTCCCACAACAGAAGGAGGAATTAGGTTTGGCTCTTTGTTTTGCTTTTTATTTTATTTTTTGAGACAATGTAAGCTGTTCTGGAACTCATTTTGTAGACCGATCTTGCTCTGCTGGGGTTGAAAGTGTGAGCCATCACGCCTGCCCAGGTTTGGTTCTTCAGGTCATGATTCCTTGACAGTGTTTGCAAAACAGTCTCTTTTGTTTATGGGAATTTGTTTATGCTAGGGAGTTTGCTCACACCCTTCTCTTCCACTAATCACATCAGGGACAGCTATCCCAAGAGTGGGTAACTGACTCACCAGGTCTTCAGTAGCTGAGGTGACATTTGAACCCAGATCTCTTTGACTCCAAAGCTGTTTTGCACTTTTTTTTCCCTAGGCAGAGTTTCTCTTTGTAGCCCTGGATGTCCGGAACTCACTCTGTAGACCAGGCTGGCCTCGAACTCAGTTATTTTGCTCTTGTACATTTATATCCTGTGAGCTGATAGCATTTTTTTTTTAATTCATGTTCCAGATATGTGACTTGTAGCTCACGTGTGATTTCCTTCCCTTGTTACTCTCTAGAGAGAAAACCAAAGTTGCCAAAGTTGGTCAAGGAGTAGAAGATGGGCCTGATACCAAGAGAGCAAAACTTGATTCACCTGAGACAACCATGGTCAAAAAGGTAATGTTAAGAGCTGAATTCAGGCCGAGTGGTGGTGGTATATGCCTTTAATCCCAGCACAGATGCAGAGGCAGGTGGATCTCTGTGATTTCGAGGCCAGCCTGTTCTACAAGAGCTAGTTCCAGGACAGGCTCCAAAGCTACCGAGAAGCCCTGTCTTGAAAAACCTAAAAAAAAAAAAAAAAAAGCCAGCTGAAGTCAGAAACCCTGGGGCATGGGGAGGGGCCTTCATAACTGCACATGAGGTAAACCTTGAGGGGAGGCCCAAGACTGGACTCCACCAATATAACCCGTTCTTTCCCCCCAAAGAAAATGAGTTTATATTCCAAATGAGATTCTTCAAGAAAAATAGAAGTCCCTTAAAATTTTGGCAGCCTATTTAAATGGCTTCAGGTTCAGGTACTGTTCTGGTGTAGCACCATGGTGGCCTGACATAACAAGCTTGTTTAATTATTTGCCACAGAAGATAACCAGTTTTAACCTCTGGTTTCTGGACCAGAAGTTACTACATTTTCCCTTCCCTTACTATGTGTCCCCTTCCAATCATTTTCCTTTTTAGATTGGTATACAGGTCATAACTGGGCAGGAGCCAGTTTAAATTTGAATTTTTTTTTTTCCCTTTTCATTCCCTAGTAACTCTTTGTGTGTAATGTGCATGACTGTGCCTGGGTGTAGGCCAGGGGTTCCTTTTTTTTTTTTTTAAGCCTGTATACATGTTTGTGTGTGTGTGTACCATGCAACAGTGCCCTCAGACCTCTTGGGATTGGAATTACAGACAGTTGTAAGCCACCATGTGACCTGGGGAGGTGCTCAGTCTCTGTAGTGTTTGCTCAACAAGCATGATGACCAAGTCCATTCCTAGATGTCGGGTTGGGGGCTGGGCATGGACAGCTCATACATGTATTTAAACCCAGTGCCAGGAAGATGGAGACAAGAGGATTCTTGGGGCTTGCTGGCCAGTCAGTGAAGTGAGTTCCAAGTTCAGTGACAGATCCTGTCTCTAAGATAAAGAGTGGGACTGGAGCTCACCCTTGTTAGGTCTTGGGTTTAATTCCTTGTGGCCTATAAACCCAGTATGGCAGCTCATGCCTGTAATCCCAGGATTTGGGAGGTAGAGACTCTGGGTTAGAAGCTCAAAACCATTTGCCTCAGTTCCAGGTTAGCCTGGGCTACACTAGACTTTGTTTCAAAACAAAGGTTTTCTTTGAAATGTGTGTAATAATCGTTGTTATGTGTGGTACCCCCCCCCCCCCCCCCCACACACACACACTCCCTCCCAGTATTGGGTATGGAACCTAGGGACTTGCACTTGCTGAGTAAACAAGTGCTCTACAACTGAGCTTCAGGGCCATTAGGAGTTTGTCCAGTATTCAGGTCTGGTGCTGCGTTTCTTCTTGTTTTAGAGAAAGCAGTTGGGAAAGGGGTCAGAACGCAGTGATGTCTCTAGCTGGTATTAGGAAAGGGAATCTTGTACTGGAGAAAAACAATTTAAAATGGCTGGTGTTCGTTTTGTTAAACTGAGAAATGATGCAACCAAGCCCGTATTTACTCTTTATCTTCTAGATTCAAATGTTGTGAAAGTAAATCAACTAGTGGGCATGTCCAGTTAGAGTTGCTTTAGGGTTAAGGTCCACAAAGTACAGGATCACAGAAGTGAGACTAAGGCAGAGCTGTGTATTTTCTTTCCCTTACTTTGGTTTTTATGTTGGGATAGCTTTATCTGTGAGCCTGATGGAAAGGAATTATTAAACTCTAATTTTAGTGTCTATTCACAGGACTGTAATTACCCAGCGTGAACATTAGAGTTTGAGCCAAACTGGGGTCCTTTCTTTTTGAGGCCCAGTCAGGCCTTCTGCATGGCTGCCTGAGTTTGGTGGGGAGAGACATTGTTAACAAATGGAGGGGCACAAAAGGGGCTTTGTGGGCTGCTCTGTCAGTTTATAAATCACACCCTCTTACAAGTGTGACACTTGGCCCTGGTGTGAAGGGTTTTATGGCTTAAGGGCCTTCTCTGGTTGAGGCCCACCACTTTTTGCATTCAAATGGAAAAAGCCCTTGCTTTGTTAGCCATTCACAGCTGGAAGTTTCCCTGGAGTCACTTCTGATAAGAGTCCACTGGGGTGGATATGGAAGCCTCTTTTGGGAGCCTCTTTATCTCACTATGAGGAGAATGTGTGGAGCCCAGGCCAGTGCTTGGCAGTCTTGTGCCATTCCTGAGGGCTCTGCCGGCACTTTGCTTTTTGTGCAGTGTCTTCCTTACAGGGGGCAGAAATTGAAGATATCAAAATATTCTCCAGCTGACATTGTTAGTCAGCTGTTACAATGGGACTGTTGAGCTAGGATTCCAGCCCTGAGCCCTTGAGGGTGCACGGAATGCAGCACATTCCTTCTGTCAATCCCCTGGATTCCAGACCTTGGTTTTGTGTGTTTCACTAGAACACAGTGCAGGCAGAGTGTGGCACTGTTTGAGCCTGTGACTTTGCCACCTGGTAGCAACAACTTCTCCATCTGGTCCAAGAGGGCCTTGGGATTTTATTTATAATTTTTTGAGACAGATTCTCGCTGTTGCAACCCTGACTGACCTGGAACTCAGAATGCAGACCATGCTTATCCAGATCTTCCTGCCTGTCTGAGTGCTGGGCTTAAAGATGAATCCCACCAGGCTAGGCAGCCCTGGATTTCGAAGCTCTTTCCAGTTAAGTAGTTCCTCCACCTAGATTTTAAGGTTTCCTAAATTGTACAGAATAACTAGTTGGGCTCTACCCAGAGATTGCAGGATGGGGTGGGGGAAGCAGCTACTTCCTGTTTCCTGTGAAAGGTGTCTGTCAGAGTCCCTCTCTCCTCCCACTTGTCCTAGGTTCAATCAAATGTTGTAAAACCACTCTGGGTTCAAGGTACATGGTGTGCTCCTAATTTAGAAACTTCAAAAAACAAAGAGGAAAAACAGAGCTTGTGGTTTTCGCACATCTAGGAAGCTCAGGCCTTTCTAGCACACATGTGCCTGATAAATAAGGCAGTAGGAAGGCCTGACTGGAGGCAGATGGCATCCAGGAGTTTGTCACCTTTTTTTGGGTGGGGGGGGGGATGTTTTGGTTTTTAAATTACATTTGTTTATTCTGTGTGCATGCTTTGTCTGTGACCTTTTAAGTGCTTTAGGCAGTTCCTTTACCACTGAGCTACAGCCCTGATTCTCCGTTTGATTTTCTCCCTGAGCTGGCTGGGGAGATAGCCTCACAGTTGATAAAGGGACTTGTCATTAAGCCAGATGGCCTAAATTGGATCTCTAGGACACACATAGGGGGAGGAGAAAATCAACTCCTACAAATTGGCCTCTGACTTCCTTGTGTCTATGTGTGTACACACATAATAAATAAGTAAACTAACGAGTGAATGAATATTAGATTTTAGTCTCTAAGGACAGGGAAGTTTTTGTTTATTGCCATAATCCTAGGCCACTGCTTAAGCACAGTCATAGTCAGGAAATACAGTTCAGAGTAGTGGCACTTCCTGTAGCAGGAAATGACAGCCCTGAAGGAGATCTTTGTCATTTTAAACCTAGATTATGGAATGGACTATGTTCAGTACATTAGTTCTTGTACTTGATCAGAGAGAGAGACTAGAATTCCAAAGAAGATAAAGAATTTGCCCAGAAACAGTCGCTGACTGTTAAGACAGGAACCTCGCGAGCAGTAAAGGTTAAGGCCCTCCCAGGTGTCAAGGTTCTTAACCTGTGGGGGTTGAATGACCTTTCCACAAGGGGTTTCTTTAGACCATCAGAAAACACAGATATTTGCATTGCAATTCATAGCAGTGACCAAATTACAGTAGTGAAATAGCAATGAAAATAGTTTTATGGCTGGGTTGTTACCGTACAAACCTTTAATCCCAGCACACCGGAGGCAGAGGCTCTATAGAGCCTGGATCTATAGAGCCAGTACCTCTAGGACAGCCAAGGTTACATATTGGAAAAAAAGAAAATAGTTTTATGGTTGGGGTCACCACATCATGAGGAACTGTACTAAAGGGTTACAGCATTAGGAAGGCTGGGAACCGCTGGTTTAGAGGCATGCAGTACTCTGGTATGTGTGTGTGGGGGGTAGTTTGGAGGGATACTGATTCCGGGTTTTCCGGGGAGGACAGTTAGCTGAGATGGGAGTGGTGTCTTGCTTTGTGAAGAAAAATTTTTAACTTCCAATGAAGTGAACACAAAAAGGCTTACCCCCTATCATCTTAGTAATTGTGGCTGGGGGAGGGGGTTATCTGGTTGTCTATCCGTCCCCTCCATTTCTCTCTCCTTTCCTCTCTCCATGGTTCAGAGATACCTTAGCTGGTTGTAAACTTGGTCTGTAGCCCAAAGAGGCCTTGTCCTTTCAAGTCTTCTTGGTTCAGAATGCTGAGCGTATAGGGATGCACTATTATATCTTTTGCCACTGTTTCTGATGCATGTATAATATGTATGTTACTGTATATATCGTGTACAGATACATGCCACATCCTTGCAGATTATTCGTATAATAGAACAAACACTGTTCATTAAACACATTCTCAGTGTTAGCATACTAACCTGTCACTCTTTTCTGTATTTTTGGCTTTATTTTATTATTAGACAGGTTACTCTGGTGCTATTAGGCTGTGTGGATGGATTAAAAAGACACCCGAAGGGGACAGGCTCCCAGTCATCCTTACTTGCCTTTGAGTTTAGTCAGACATTTATAGATGCAAAGAACTCAATTTTGGGGTCTAGAGAAGTGACTCAGCGTCAAGAGTGTATGTTGTTCTTACAGAGGACCCCAGTTCCAGAGGATCCAACAGGCTTGCATGTGGTACACAACATTCATACTTGAAGTAAATAAATAAATGGTTTGTTTTTAAAGTTACTCTTTAAAAAAAAATAAAGAAAAAAGCAACTTTGTATACAGGAGTTTAAGCATAAAGTAAGACTCTTAGCTAGCACCATATATATTACTAAGTTAAAGTAACAGGCATCTCTGGTATGACTGAGCCTTTTTGCTCTGACAGTGTAAGTAATGGCTGTTAACAGTTGGTTCTTCTTCCCACGTCTGCCTGTGTACTAGACTTGCTTTCCGTGTCTCTCCACTGTTTGTGTATCTTTGTGGAGCTTTGTTGTCCTTTATGGTAGTTACTAGCCACATACGGCTATATGATATTAAATACAGTGTAGAAACAGATTCATTAATGCTTAATAAGTACCTGTAGCTGCTGGCATGGGAGTTGCACAGCATGTATACATGGCCTACCCCATCATAACAAGTCCTCTTGGATAGCACTGCAAGACTTCTGTTGTGTGAATGAATAGATTACTGTTATGTATCTGTGCTAACTTTTCCTGTTAGAAGTTGTGCTGCAGTAAGCCTCTATTTGTATATGCCAGACTGTAATCTATAATCTACTTGGGCAATTGTGTTCATTTCTGTAGGGTAAAATTAGGTTAAGGGCACTTTAAATTTTCTCAGATTCTGTTAAATTACTCTCAAATATTTTTACCAATTTACATTCAGTAGCCAATAGCATGTAACAGTAACACTTGATAGCCTCAGGCTTTGTTTCAACCATGCTATTGAGTGAAAATTGTCCAGTTTGTAGTTGTCATTTGTTAGAATACTTTTTTCTTTTCAGACAGGGTCTCACTATATAGCCCATGCTGACCTTGAAGTTGGCATTCTTCTTCCTCTACCTCCCACATACTGGGATTGTGCATATGTACCACCATAATGGACTTTTGTTTGTTTGTTAAATTTTAATCCCAGCCCTTTGGGAGTCAGGAGGATATCCAAATTTCAGGACAGCCTGGTCCTCATTAAGTTCTGGCACAGCCAGGGCTACCCTGTCTCTAAAAGCCAAAATAAAATTTTCCACCTTTATTTTATATGTGTATGAGTGCTATGCATGCAGTTTTTATGGAGGCCCGAAGAGGGGATGAATTCCTTGAGACTGGAGTTATAGGTGGTTGTGAACTGCTCTGTGGATGGTGAGAATCAAATCCAGGTCTGGTGCAAGAGCAGCCAGTGCTCTTTGCCGCTGAGCCAACTCTATCTCAGTTCTCACCAACTTGTAGTCAGTTTTAAATCTGGATGAGTGGATACTCCACATTTAAGGCATTCGTGCTTATTCGTGTATGGGTTATACATGTGTACAGGTACAAGTTGCACACAGAGGCCACCTAAGGTTGTCTTGATTGCTGTGTTTGATTTAGATAATGAGGTAGAGTGTCTTGCATGAACCCAGAGCCCTCCAATTCAGCTAGTTCACGTAGCCAGTTTGCCCCTCAAGTGCTGGGATTACAAGCCTACAACATGCCTGACCAGTAACCAGCTGCATTTATTTCTCTATATTGCCAGTGAGTCCACACCAACACCTTTCAGCACAATGCTCATTCTAGTTTCTTAATGTTTCATGTGTTAATTAATTCTCTTCTAATAAGCAAGCCTGACTCCCCAGATTCCAGTATTTTCTTGTGTCAACCACTGGATGGAACCAGTGTCCTGTTACTGTTCCTATGGGGATAGCCTTCTTACAATATCTGCTTAGACCTTTCACCCAGGACACCCATCTCCTGCATCCTTGCTTAGAAATTCCCTTTCCAGAAAATGTCTTTGTGTGAGGGTGGAAGGGTTCAACTTTTTTACTGTATTACTCAGGGAAAAGTAAGTGATGTTTGAGTTTTTAAAAAAATGTTGATTTTAGCTGGGTGATGGTGGCACATGTCTTTAATCCCAGTACGCGGAAGGCAGAGGGAGGTTCTAAGTTAAAGCCCAGCCGTGTCTACAGAGTGAGTTCCAGGACAGCCAGGGCTACACAGAGAAACCCTGTCTCAGGGGTCAAAACAGTTTATTTTAATTATTATTATTATTATTTTTTTTTTCGAGACAGGGTTTCTCTGTGGTTTTGGAGCCTGTCCTGGAACTAGCTCTGTAGACCAGGCTAGTCTCGAACTCACAGAGATCCGCCTGCCTCTGCCTCCCAAGTGCTGGGATTAAAGGCGTGCGCCACCACTGCCCGGCTATTTTAATTATTTTTAATTGCATGTATGTGTGTTGGTATGTTTAGATCCCTGTGCAGGTGCAGTCCAGAGAGGCTTCAGATCTCTTGGAATGGAGGTTATAGGACCTGGATGTGGGAACTGGGAATTGAACTTAGTTCATCTGCAAGAACAGTGTATGCTCTTAACTGCTATGCTGTCTCTCTAACCCATATATGCTCTTTTTTGTCTTGTCTAGACAGGGTTTCTCTGTGTTAACATAAGTCCAAGTTGGCCTGGAACTCGCTTTGTATACTAGGCTGGTCTAGTGGATCTCACAGAGATCCATCTGCCACCCGAGTGCTGGGATTAAAGGCAGACACTGCCACAGCCTGGCTAAATTTTGGTTTTCTTGTATATAATTGAAAAGAATACTTTATTAGTAACTTTTTTAGTTTTTGAGATTGAGTCTTACTGTATAGTAGCTCAAGCTGGCTGGCTTCAAACTTGCCATACTCATATCTCAATCCGCTGGGTTCTGGAATTAAAATCCTCTGTACCATCGCCTCACCCAGTTGAGTCTGAGTCTTTGGGAGACTGAAACAGGAGACTCTCTGCAAGTTTGAGGCCAGCCTGGTCTACAGTTTCACCCTGAGCTACATAGTGAGACCAAAGAATGAACCAGGTCCAAGGAGCACATATCTGTCCTTTTGTCCCCAGACTATGCAGGAAGTATTTCTTAGGTTTTAGTGGGTGTTGACTTTATTTATTTATTTATTTATTTATTTTAATTAATATTAAAAATTTCCACCTCCTCCCATTTCTCCCCCCCTCCCCTCCCTGTTCAGTCCAAAGAGCAGTCAGGGTTCCCTGCCCTATGGGAAGTTCAAGGTCCTCCCCCCTCCATTCCAGGTTGAGGAAGGTGAGCATCCAAACAGACTAGGCTCCCACAAAGCCAGTACATGCAGTAGAATCAAAACCTAGTGCCATTGTCCTTGGCCTCTCAGTCAGTCCTCCTGGTCAGCCACGTTCAGAGAGTCCGGTTTGATCACATGCTCCATCAGTCCCAGTCCAGCTGGCCTTGGTAAGCTCCCATTAGATCAGCCCTACCGTCTCAGTGGGTGGGCGCACCCCTTGCAGTCCTAACTTCCTTGCTCATGTTCTCCCTCCTTCTGCTCCTCATTTGGACCTTGGGAGCTCTCTGTCTCTATCTCCATCTATCGCCAGATGAAGGTTCTATGGTGATATGCAAGATATTCATCAGTGTGGCTATAGAATAGGGCCAGTTCAGGTGCTCTCTCCTCAGCTGCTAAAGGAACAAGCTGGGGACATCGCCTTGGACACCTGGGAACCCCTCTAGAGTCCAGTCTCTTGCCAGCCCTAAAATGGCTCCCTTAATTAAGATATATACTTCCCTGCTCCCATATCTACCTTGCCTCCATCCCAACTGTCCCATTCCCCCAAGCTCTCCCCATCCTCCTCTTCTCACTTCTCTCTCCCCATTTCCCCTTACTCCCATCCCACCCCCACCCCCAAGCTCTCAATTTTTGCCTGGCAATCTTGTCTACTTCCAATATCCAGGAGGATAATAACTACATGTTTTTCTTTGGGTTCACCTTCCTATTAAGCTTCTCTAGGATCACGAATTATAGGCTCAATGTCCCTTATGTATGGCTAGAATCCACTAATGAGTGAGTACATACCATATTCATCTTTTTGGGTCTGGGTTACCTCACTCAGGATAGTGTTTTCTATTTCCATCCATTTGCATGCAGAATTCAAGATGTCATTGTTTTTTACTGCTGAGTAATACTCTAATGTGTATATTGGGTGTTGCCTTTTTAGAATAAGACTTTGAATATTGAAATTTGTCTGAGCTGGAAAAGAGTTTCTGCTTCAATTCAAACCAGCCTGCTTGTTCCTAAAAACACTCTGCCGTTTCCCACAGAAAGTACTTTTCTGCCCTGTAAAAGAAGCGCTGGAAGTGGATTGGAGTGGAGAGAAAGCCAAGGCTGCGCTGAAGCGCACAGCCCCAGACTACTTTCTGCTGCAAGGTAAGGCCTGGAGTTGGAGTCACCCCAGGCAGGCTCCAGCTTTGACTACTGACTGCACTGTGGCCCAGTGTTGATGCTGTATGGGTTTTTCTGTATCCTTCTCAACACAGGGTGGTGAGATGCAGCCTCACTGAGGTCTGGTTTCTGATAACTTCTCTAAATCTGTCAAAATGACTTGTAGTGCAGTTAGTCCTGGTGACTGTCAGCTCCCCAGCATCTTCTCCACTTTCCCTTTGTAACTGTGGCCTGGTCCTCAACCCTTCATTCTCCTGACAAGAGTTCTGAATTTCTTCTTTTCTTTGAGTTGAGTTGTTTACTTTTTACTTACTGCAGTGAGGCCTCACAGTAGATAGAGCCCATGCTGGCTCTAACTTTAGATGATCCTTCTGCCTCATTTTCATATATTTACCCTCCATTCTACCTGGCTTCTCCCACACTGAATGAGCCATCTTTCAGTGTATCCTTGCTGGTGTTCAAGGATTTGTTAGCAAAATACTGATTGTCTTCTTAGTGTTCCTGTTCCTTGCAGTTTCAATTGTTTATTTTAGTATCTATTGTTGTTGAGACAGAGTTTTACTATATAGTTTTGTCCTGAAACTATCTGTTTAGACTGAGCAGGACTTGAACTCACAGAGATCCACCTGCCTCTGTATCTTGAGTGCTGGGATTTATTATTATTGTTGTTGTTTTTATTATTATTATTATAAAGGCCTGCACCACGATATCAGGCCCCACACAATCACCACACCCAACCCTTGACGAGGTTTCTGTTAACAGCCTTGGCTGACCTGGAGCCCTTTGTAGACCTCTCTGGCCTTGAACTCAGAGGTCTCCTTGCCTCTAGGTGCACTCCACAACTCCCAATCTCAATCATTTGTTTATTTTTGTTTCCTCTTTTATGTACGTGAGTGTTTTGCTGGTGTGTATATATATGTGCACTGTTTGTATAAGTACTGGAGCTGTAGTTGCGGGTGGTCATAAGCTGTCTTGTCAGTGCTAAGAACCAAACCTGAGCCCTCTACAAATGCAGAAAATGCTTGTAACTGCAGAGCCATCTTTCCAGACCCATTGAGCTTCAGTTTTAGGCTTGCTGTTTGTTTGTTTTTTTGTTTTGATTTTTTTAAGACAAGGTTTTTCTGTCTGTCCTGGAGCTTGCTTTGTAGACGAGACTGGCCTCAGACTTAGAGATACCTGCTTGCCTCTGCCTCTTGAGTGCTGGGATTAAAGATTTGGGCCACCATCATCTGGCTTGAGGCTCAGTTTTTAAAGTGCCATTTAAAAAATAATTGTTAGGACATGTTGACATTTGCCTATAATCCTAGCACTTGTAATTGAGACATAGGAGGATCTTCAGACTTGTCTCAGGCTACCGAGTGAGTTTGATGACAGCCTCAGCTATGTGAAATGCTGTCTCAAAATCAGAAAAAGGACAGAGTAGGGAATTTCAGTGGGTGAACTATTTTAAAACCCTGGTGTCCATTCATACAGAAATATTTAAGTGGGTTAAGTAGGAATGAGTGTTAGGCATGTGAGTAATGCCTCCCCTAAGGACTGTGGGAGCCTGCATGGAAGAAGTGTCAGCTGTACTGTGAGGAGCACCTGCTCCTCTGGACCAGGGTTCTCAGCAAGTCCTGGGTCTGGCACATGAAGCATTAGTGGATCTGGTTTGCAGCCACTAGTTTGCAGCATTTTTGGATATGGTGAAACCCTTTCTAACAATTGCTTATGAAGAAGCCACTGAGTCTGACCTGGAATGTCTTATCTGGTGTGTGGTTCTAGTTCTGGTGATTAGGACTCAATGGGGAACATTCCTGGCATCTAGTGGGAAACATGCCCACAGCAGCTCCCATGGCAGAAGTTGAACCACTGGAAATGTCAATGCAAACTCTAGCCTCACACCTATAGTCCTAGCTTAGGGATGCTGAGATGGAAGAATTGTAACGAGTTCAAGGCTAGCCTCAAAAGAAAAAGAATAAGTAGAAAGGATGTCATGTCTGAGAATGCAATTTATGGGGGTTTCCCCATCTATTTCAATATCACAGCAGTCTCCTAAAGTACATAAATGTCCTCGTTTTGATTTTCATTTGTATTTATTCATTCATTCAAGACAGGTTTCTCTTTGTAGCCCTGACTGTCCTGGAACTCCACCTGTAGACCAGAGTAGCCTTGAACTTAGATCTGCCTGCCTCCTCCTCAATGATAACTGGGATTAAAGGCATGTACCACCATGTCTAATGTTTTGTTTTGCTTTTTTCTTGACAAAGGTATCTTATGTAGCCCTTGCTGGCCTCGAAGTACTCATGTAGTTGATGATGATCTTGAACTCCTAATCTGAGTTTTCTCAGATAGTGGAACTACAGGCACATACCTCCGTGTGGTAGTAGGGCTGAACCCAGGGCTTTATGCATTCTGGACAAGCACTACCAGCTTGGTCCAGCCCTGTGTGGGCCTGAAGATACCAAGAACATTCAGGTGACTTGTCTTGGAGGGACAAAAGCTTCCTGGGGTTTTTTTGTTTGTTTGTTTGTTTTGTTTTGTTGTTGTTGTTTTTAGATGGCTACATAAGCCATGCTGACCACCAACTTGGAGTACTGCTTCAACTTTCCAGGTGCTGGTATTCCAAGTATATGTACTATCTATACCTGGTATTAACTATAATATGCTGGGGGATAACCCTTCTGTATGCTGAGAATATATGTTGCTCTCATTGGTTGATAATAAAAACTGCTTCGGTCTATAGCTAGGTGGGAAAGCCAAACTGAATACAGGGAGAAAGAAGGGTGGAGTTGAGGGAGAAGCCAGCTGCCTAAGAAACAAGGTGCTAACAGATCAGTAAAAATCATGACCACGTGGCAATACATAGATTAATAAATATGGATTAATTTAATTTAAAAGTAAGAGCTAGTTAGTAATAAGCCTGAACTATGGGCCAAACAGTTTGTAATTAATATTAAGTCTCTGAGTGATGATTTAGATAAGGCAAGACAGAGAAATCTCCATTTACAATAATGTCATGATCATCTGGCAGGTTTTTTATTTTTGTTTGTTTGTTTGTTTGTTTGAGACATAGGATCTCGCTATGTAACTCTGGCTGTCCTGGAACTCTCTATGTTGACCAAGCTGGCTTTGAACCCTCAGAGATCCACCTGCCTCTGCTTCCTGAGTGCTGGGATTAATGAGTTACAGTTGTTGAGACTAGGTACTTGGAATAAATCTGACCTGACATTTCTGGCTTATTCTGCCATTTTTCTGAGGTGAGTGATCCTTACATTCCAAGGGACTACAAGTTCTCTAAGGGGCTAAGGGTGTACCTCAGTATTGAGAGCACTTGCCTAACATATACAAGATCTTCATGGTCAATCTCTAGAACCACGGAGAAGGGAAGCTTTTGGTAGAGAGCAAAGAACAGTAATACCACCTCACTGCCTTTCCTGAAGCAGTTCACCCCAGCTTCAGGAAAATTTAGAGCCATTGTGCAGAGTGCACCCCTGAGTGAGTGAGGTAAGGGCAGTGATCTTAGTTAGGGACTGGCTCTTGGTCACCAAAGCCTGTTCCTTTTCCATGTTACAGTATTGTCAACTACTTCATTGCCAGTTTAAACAGCGAGTAGCCGGGTGGGGGACACAGCTAAAATTCAAGCATTCAGCAAGCAGAGGCTAGAGGATTGCTGTTTCTTCAAGGCCAACTTGAAAACAAAAAAAAAAACAAAAAACAAAAAAAAACTAGATTGAGCAGAAAATTGATTCTAATAATAATGAAATTCTACAACTAACTGCATTGAATTAATATCTCTGTATGTGATTTTTTTGTATTTATGGTACTGAATATTCAACCTTATGATAGGCAAGCTCTTTACTACTAAGTACATCTTTCAGCCCTTCGTTTTGTTTTGTTTTGTTTTTGAGATGTATTCTTAGTGAAACTAGGCCTGGTGACCCTAGACAGCAATTCCAGTTCTTTGAAATAGTTAATCCAAAGGATAGTAAATAGCGGGATAGTAGATTCAGGGTCTTTGATAGCATGATCTCAAGGTCAGCCTAGCAACTTAATGAAACCCTGTCTCAAAGCAAGAAATAGAAAACGACTGGAGAGTGCACCTCAGTGGTTAGTGTCTGTCTCACCTGTGCCTTAGGATCCTTAAGCAGCATTGAAAAGAAACTAACGCAGAGGGTGGGAGTGCATGCCTTTGAGAGGCAGGCACATCTCTGTGAGTTCAAGACTAGCCTGGTCTATAGAGTGAGTTCCAGGACACCCAGAGCTACACAGAGAAATTCTGTCTTGATGGAAGGAAGAAGGGAGGGAAAAACAGAGGGAAGAAGGAAGGAAGGAGAAATTAACACAGACAATATCTCTCAAAGCCAAAAAATACGTGACCTAATAAATCATACATCAGCGAAATTGTTTGAAGTATAAAAATGTACAAAGATAAATATACACAAATGAACTCAGATTTAAGAGACTGGTCAGTTAATTTCTTCCTGTCATCTCATAGCTTGAGTAAACAAACTCCCCAAAAGGCTAATTGTGTGTGTTGTTGTCCCCCAAGCAGGGTTGCTCTGTAGCCCTGACTGTCCTGAAATTCACTCTGTAGACCAGGCTGGCCTTGAACTTGGAGATCTACCTGCCTTTGCCTCCTGAGTGCTGGGATCAAAGGTGTGCGCCACCACTTCAGCAGTAAGTTGACTTCCTTACTCAAGATTCCAAACCCAGTTAATGGCAAGATGCTTAGCATAAAGCCAATATACACACAGGAGCTGCTATGCTGCCCTGAAAAGTATACACGAGAGCCTCGTGTTTGGGGACTGGAGACGTTCCTCAGTGGGTAGGCTCACTGACTGCCCTAAGAGGCCAGAAGAGTGTTAGATCCCCTTGAGCTAAAGTTAACAGGTGCGTTTTGAGCCTCTTTTCACCCCCATCCCCCGGTGCTGGAATTAACTCCTCTGGAAGAGTGGTACCTGTAGTTCAGTGCCTCAATCAAACTCTATAGCAAAGTTGGCCGC